GGACGACGGGGCTAATACAAAAACCACGAAAAAAATGTCCCAAGTCAACCTATTTAAACGTAGTGACATGTAAAGGAATATGAAAAAGCTAAAACGTTGAATTTAAATTGCAATGTCATCGCAGTACTGTCTAATTTTGCTTGTTTCGCTGTCAGTCGAACAAACGAAGACTAGAGCGTGAATGACGCTCTGTCATTGACTTACAAATAAATGGACGACGGGTCTAATACAAAAACCACGAAAAAAATGTCCCAAGTCAACCTATTCGAAATTTAAATTGTAATGTCATCGCAGTATCGCGCTGTCAGTAGAACAAATGAAGACTAAAGCGGAGTGTCGCGCTCTGTATACGATTTTAGCGCCTTACAAGTGCGGACACTTTTTAGCGCGGACCCGACGTCCATATAATTGTAAGTCAATGCGCTCTGTATACAATTTTAACGCCCTATAAGTTCGGACTGTTTTTAGCGCGAAACCCGACGTCCATATAATTGTAAGTCAATGGGTAAGGTGATCTTAATAGTTCTTTCAGTTACATGTAATAAACAGATTATCAAAGATTCCGGAAGTTGCTGTTTATCTTATTACTGGCCTCTTTAATCAATAAATCAATTTATTTGGCGTACTGATTGACAATTTTTCCCAATTTCCAACATCCGATATCTGCCCGGATATTGTTTTACTCTCCGGTATCCGGTCGGATAGTAAAACAAGCCGGATAGGCCGGATACCGGATAGTTACCAGATATCCGTTTCAACTCTAGACAAAAGCCCCAATTAAATAAGTCAGACGAGGAAGATTTGTTCAGTAGTCTTAGTATATTAACGCTAGATCTATTCTTCAGGTGGACTTTTATTTCTTTGAGTTCCTGACCAACGAGTACAAACGAAGTTTCGTGGAGATGCACTATACTTGGTGCAGTTTGGTCAAAAAGGACATGTTTTTTGGCTACGCTATGAGGTCCCAACCGGATCTAGCAGGGCCATGTCCATACCCTCCGGTAAAGACTTTTTTGTTAACTGGTAGAAAATGCTTTTAGCATTAAGTCTGCCTTTTTAACCGACTTACTTTTAAAACAGGCGAATGTTGTACGTTCGGCTGTATGTATGTTTTACGTATGTTGTCCAATTTCTCCGTCAATTATGGACCGACTGAAAATTTTTATTTTGTTTGAAAAGGTGCACTCTCGAGGCGGTCCCAGAATCTGATTAGGTGATCCCATGGAACTGAGCAAAACCCTCAAATTGAATAGGCATATAATTCACAGATTTCTCCGTAAATTTTTTTTTTTGTTTCAAAGGGTCCCTTCCGCCTGGCGAATATGACGGTCTTGCCGGACGCAATACCGAAAGGGTTCCCGTTCACAAAGGGGCGCATATACGCTAACTTAACATATACGCCTAAGAAGTTACTTGTAGCTTCAGGGTACGTCAATATGGAACTACGCACCATGAATGTCAATTCAAGAAACAAAAATGAAAAACTGTAAACCTGTATGTGTTAGAAATCATTGTTTTCGAACATCTTTATATTCTTTTCCATTAAATTAGCTAATAGCCCCCTTTACACAGTTACTCTATCGCGCGTTATCAGGAGCGTACATGGTTGCGCGTGGGAAAAACTGCGCGCGCAATCGTGTGCGATTATCTCTTTGAAATTTATTAAGCTAACGTTCTTTCGCGCGCTTTTCTTCGTGTTCGTTTTAGTTACAACGGAAAGAGCATCCATGTAAAAGGTTAATAGCGCAGGACAGACCACGTGAAACTGACGCATGTTAGAGGGCGCCATTGCACGCGGAACTGATGAGCACAACCGCGCGGTCTATCTCTAACGTCTTTACACACGCGCTCAATCGCACACGATTGCCGTATCACGCGCGGTAGGATGTCTGTGTAAGTCCACTAATGTGTAACGTTCGGATACATTCATGTAAATCTTGTGTGAGAACTGAAGATATTATTAAATAATCAATGTTTCTGGATAACATTTCAATGTTGTACACGAATTTCTTGGCTTCAATAAACAAGTATACATTTACTTTTGCAATATTGTTTTTATGCATTGACTTAACAACAAATAGACGACGGGTCTAACATAAAACCACGAAATAATATCTGGAGCTATCGAACGGACGTGTTTTATTGTACTCTGTGTATTAGGGACTCCACCTAGTTCCCTTGACAGATATTTCGACGAACAGAGTTCACGCCTGTCGCGAACCTCGCGAGCCGTTGTGTATGTAAATTGGAGAGGGAAATGACGTGGGCGTATGGGAATGGCAATGAGGGCACAGTAGTCTGTGAGTGAACACAGTGGAAAGTGTTCCTAGGCGTGGAGTAAAGAATTCAGTGGTGAGTCCGTATACTTATTTATACTCGTATATCCCTTGATAACTGTGTTACACCATTAATACCTTGTTCTGTGCCGTAACGGATGACGCACTTGAGATTGGTAACCGTAGAATATGTAACGAGTGTGACCATGGGACAATAAATGTGGTCGGACCTATTGGATTTGACAGACGCTTGCTGTAAGGAAATAAGGTTAGAGGCCAGTAAGGACAGTGGCCCACATGCTCACATATGCGAAGCGAAGCTAAGCATCGAGTTGACCAACGATATTTGGCGATCTTGTAGCATCATAGCATTGGAGTTGACGAAGTTTATGTGGTTTCGATGTTAGGTAAGAACACAAATACGTAAATGGTTAGTGGAGCTAACATATCCTCTGTACGAACATCGGCTGCTAAACGTATGTAGCCTGGTTCACTGGCAGCTAAAAGTAGATGGCTGGGCCAATACATTATATGAACATCGGCGGTTAAACGTATCTAGCTACGGTCCGGTTCATTGGCAGCTTAAAATAGATAGCTGTAGGAAATGTAACTGTTTTTCTGGATTTAAATCGCGTATATTTGTTTTTTCAAACAAACCGACGTTTCAGGCCCTTTACAGGTCCCATGGTCACGGCTGACTTCAACCAGTGACTTCGGTTCAGTCAACCGTGACCATGGGACCTGTAAAGGCAAAAAAGTCGCAGGCCGAGGTGCAGCGGAGAGCGAAGCCTGAAGCGTCTTCACGCCATCGTACTTAGTAAGTAGTATATGAAGGCTTTATTGCGAGTACAAGATCTCACAATCGTTGAAATGTAAAGCATATTTCTCGATGCACTGGAAATAAGATATTTAAAACGTTGTTGTATCTCGACCGCTTCTGTTATTTTTTTTTTTCTTGGAAGCTATACCAAAGAGAAATATTTTAGTGAAAATATATAAGTATATAATAATAATGCCAGACAATTGCTCTCAAACTAGGGAATTTTCTGTACTATGAACACCAGAATAACGATAACTCTGAGGGCAATATCCAGAACAGAACCAATTTAAAATTGTTCGTTTCCTAAACAGGCCTAAATCGAGAATCGAACCCGGAATCTCATCAAGCGCCCACAGCACTAACAGCTATGCCACGGGAGAGCATAAGCACTTCCCGTAATCGAAACCCGACCACGCGCCGCAAGCCGACCCCGGACCCCCCGGAGGTGGGGTACAGGGCTCGTTGTTTATATACAAACTGAAGGAATTTCAAAGATTTGCCACCATAACACCTTTTTTTTATTACCAATATACTTTTACCATTTTCTTTGCAAGTCTTTCTCTGCGTACTACCACTACAATTAGTGTACTACCACTAATTATAGTGGTAGTACGCAGAGATGTACATGTATTGCATGTATGGAGTATGGTCCATGCATTATGTTTTTTCTCCACTGTAGCTAGTAGTTGAAACAGATATAGGGTTCTTTACGGGACAGTGCAACAACGTGTGGTATTTCATGTTACACTCTCCGCACGTTTCTGGTTTCTGTAGACGCGCAATCAGCATTGCCGTGACTGACAAATTACGATAAGTCTACCAAAGAAGCGCGGAAAAGAGCTGTATTGACTCAATTAAAAATGTTTTGTTATTTTAGCTACGGCACTTGCTCAAAAGAATGAAGTGCTATTGGCCTTATACGCGTTATGAAGACACACATTAACACCAGAGGAAGGCGGGGGAAACCTGTCCAGTAGACGCTATACCATGCTGACGCTAGATAATTATTCTTCAGGTGGACTTTTATTTCTTTGAGTTCCTGACCGTACAAACGAAGTTTCGTGGAGATGCACCACACTTGGTGCAGTTTGATAAAAAAGGACATGTTTTTTGGCTATACTATGAGGTCCCAACCGGATCTAGCAGGGCCATGTCCATACCCTCCGGTAAAGATTTTTTTGTTAACTAGTACAAAATGCTTTTAGCATTAAGTCTGCCTTTACGTTCGGCTATATGTATGTTGTCCGATTTTTTCGTCAATTGTGGGCCGATTTTTTTGTTTTATTTGAAAAGGTGCACTCTCGAGGATCCCATGGAAATCGAGCGAAATCCTCTCCTTTTTAATTTCTCCGTCAATTGCGGACCGATTTTGAAAATTCTTTCTTTTGTTTGAAAGGGTGCCTACCGCTTGGCAAATATGACGGTCTTGCCGGACGCAATACCTAAAGGATTCCCGTTCATAAAGTTCATATACTCTAACTTTACATTACTTGCGCCTAAGAAGATACTTATAGCTACAGGGTACGTCGATATGGAACTACAAGAATGAAAGCTCTAAACCTGTATGTGTGTAGAAATTTGTACTTTCGAACATCTTTATATTCTATTGCAATAAATTAGCTAATAACTAATTTACACAGTTACTCTATCGCGTGTGATCAGGATTGTACAGGATTGCGCGCGGGAAAGTCTGCACGCGCAATCGCACGCTTATTACCTCTTCGAAATTTTTTAAGCTAACGTTTTTGCCCGTGGATGCCCATATTTCGAACACGTCTTCCCCCTCGGGTCAATTGATACCAAGTTTCTATGGGTTCTAGAAAGCATTGGCATTCCCGATTCCTCAAAGGCGACGCGTGAAGAGGAAGCAGTCATACATTTCAATAAAATAGTTGTATGCCGTAATGGCAGTTACGAAGTTAAATGGCCCTGGAATTCCCTCCATTATTGCAAACCAATTTCGGACTGGCATATGGACATCTAAAGAGCTTACTGCTCAGATGAAGAAACCACCAAGGAGTCTACAGAAATCTTACAGGAGCAACTTTCAGCTGGAATTATTGAAATGTTTGATACAACCGCCAAGATGCGATGACGAAATAGGCCATTATCTGCCGCATCATATGGTTAAACGAGAAGAGAAAAGAGGCAGAATTGTTTACGATGCGTTGGCAAAATGTAGCGGATACAGAAGTTTAAACGAATGTCTATATGGAGGTGCTTCGATGATCGAAGACTTGACAGCACTGTTACTGAAATTCAGATTGGACCAGATTAGTATGGTGGCAGATGTAGAAAAGGCGTTCCTGCAGATCGGTCTGCAAGAAGAAGACAGAGACGTCACCAGGTTCTTATGGGTGAAAGATTTCAGCAATGAATTGACAGAAGATAACATAATACAAAAGGGATGGATGAAGAATTATCAATGAACGTTAGAAGCTGAACCTCTAACTCCGGAGAATTCATGGCGCTCATTCCAGTGTCAATGAAAATGAATAAAATAAAATTCGAAAAAAAGTAAAAAACGAATTTTGTGGAAAAAAAAGCAGAACAGATCCAAAAATTAAGTTGGCTTAGTGTTCATTGGAGGTATCAGTCTAATTTAATAAAATTTAAAGACATGACACTTTTAAACATCAAACAAATCAAATTAGTGCGAAGCAACCTTTACCACAAAATACAAAGCTTGGTTGGATTATTGCAGCTCTAGTTGTAATCACAAATGTAAATTTTAAACTTCATGCTAATTTTACACAAGATCTAAAAAAGATTAATAAGGTTGTGGGAATTAGACAGCTTAACAGAAGTGAAGTTTTAGACCGAGGAAGAGATGCAACGCAAACAACACATAGTTGAGACAATATGAAAACAGGAATTAGAAACATTTGCAGCTATGATACCACTGAAACAATATATAAAATAATAACCCATAGAAACCTAGTCCGCACACGCGAAGTGAGGCAAATCGTAGGGACCCAAATAGGCTTACACGAGCGGGCGGGCCGTCTGTGCTCAAGCTCAACTTGCACCGCGGACAGCTCAAAAATTGTAGCAAAAAATGACGAATGTACGGTAAATGAGTGTAAAAATACGTCCGACAAACATAAAATAGATACTAACATCACATTCCACAAAGAAGTAAAGCGTTTCAACTTGTATTTTTATGCAAATATTCAATAAAACAGATAATTACCTATAATTTCGTTGCAACAAGATACGAAAATGTTGCAAAGTAACAGATTTTTTTCTCCCCATTTTGGTATACTGTTTCAAAATATTTATATTACGTAATTTTTTAGAGAATAGTCAGTATCGCGACGGTTACAGAATTTCTACAAATATAACCTATTTTTACGGAATATATTTAGTATTAGCCTTCTTTAGTTTCATGTGAAAATCATTATTCTTGTCAATAATAATGATTTTCACATCAATTGAATCATTATACAGGAATTATTTTAAAAACTTTTCTTGCCCAGACTCAAAAGTTCTTAACTTATTTCAGGGAACTAACACTGACTAAAAAAGTCATCGTCAGTTCTCGAAAGTCGTGTATAAATAACTTTCAGGTTCAGGTTCTTTATTGTTATCATGCACTTTTCATGTGTTTATCCACAGGCAATATCAGGCTATTTATACCCAAATTTTCATGAACTGAAGTCAAATTCGATAGTCGCACTTAAACTCGCTTTTAAGTTTTATTTCATATATTATGAATTAAATAAAAATTTATTAGTATTTATTAACTTAACGTTGAGTTAAGCAAGAGACAATTTCCCCACTTATGATTGAAATGTTATTCTATGGCATCATTATTTGTATATTTGTGTGCGTGCTAACGTGCGTAAATACAAGTTGCTTACGCCTACATGAATTTGATCTTTTCCTCACTTCTGACAGTTCGATTGATATGAAACTATCATTCTATCCATTGACTTACAAATAAATGGACGACGGGTCTAATACAAAAACCACGAAAAAAATGTCCCAAGTCAACCTATTTAAACGTAGTGACATGTAAAGGAATATGAAAAAGCTAAAACGTTGAATTTAAATTGTAATGTTGCAGTACTGTCTAATTTTGCTTGCTTCGCTGTCAGTCGAACAAACGAAGACTAAAGCGTGAATGACGCTCTGTATACGATTTTAACGCCCTATAAGTTCGGACACTTTTTAGCGCGGACCCGACGTCCATATAATTGTAAGTCAATGATTCTATGCGTTATTATTCTAAGGGTGAATCTTGTGACAGAGCAGAACGAAGACTATTTATAACAGAATGAAAACTAGACAGAGATGGAAATTAAAGAAAATGTATATTGCATTTATGAAAGAACATGAAGATCTATCTCGCATAACAAAAACGGAGAACGATAAAGAGCTAACCAACTATTCCTATTATCTTCCATATCGTGGAATATTTAAGGAAAACCATACAACTACAAAACTCAGATTCGTTAAGCCTAATTTTGTCACTGATAACTTCATCTAACGAAAATAATGAAAACTACAAATAGTCAACTCTCTACCTTACATTTCGAGGGATAAAGCTCATTCTCTTTCGAAGTAGAGCGAAGAAAACTATTTCGACGACCAACAGAATTTCGCTGTCAAAGCAACTAAAGACACTGAAGCATAGTAACCATACTGGCACATGGCTCTTCTATCAGAGTTTGTATATCTACAGGCTATAAAATCACAGAAAAATAAAGTCATATATATTAGGGGTTAAAGTATGAAATTGCCGTTTTATTGCAATAGGTTCTTTGAATTTTCATAGAATCTTCATGGTTTGAGGTTTTCGAATGAAACTTTTTTCAAATGGTTTCTGTGATTTTTTTTTTTTTTAATTTTGAAACATTTGAATATCGACTTTCAATTGTTTTTGTTATTCAATTTAGACAAGAAAGATGGATACTGCGAAAATTCGAGTGATTTTTGAATACGAGTTCCGACGCGGAACTAACGCGGCAGAAACAGCCCGCAATATCAATGCTGCGTTTGGAGAGGGGTCTACTAATGAACGCACCGTGCGATTTTGGTTTAAACGCTTTCGTGATGGAAATTTCGACTTAAAGAACGAGTCACGAGGAAGACCGCCCACACAGGTGAATAACGATGAATTAAGAGAGATAGTGGAAGCCGATCCTAGTCAAACTACCCAGGAATTAGCGGCATGGTTTAACGTTACCTTACCCACAATATTGACTCACTTGCGTCAAATCAATAAAATAAAAAAATACGAAAAATGGGTGCCTCATGATTTGACTGATCTGCAGAAAGAAACGCGTGTTGAAACTTGTGTTGCCTTGTTGAACCGGTACAGAAATGAAGGAATATTGGATCGAATTGTAACATGTGATGAAAAGTGGATTCTTTATGATAACCGGAAAAGAAAAATGCAATGGCTGACCCCAGGTCAAATGCCACAACAGTGTCCTAAAGCAAAACTTACCAATAAAAAGGTAATGGTAACTGTTTGGTGGTCTCAGCATGGTGTTATTCACTATAGTTTTCTCCGATCTGGTCAAGCAATAACGGCAGATGTCTATTGTGCCGAACTCCGAACCATGTTGACAAAACTAGCAGTAAAACAGCCCCGACTCATGAATCGATCTTCACCATTATTGCTCCACGACAACGCGAGACTTCACACAGCACGAGAAACCATTTTGACCCTTCAGGAACTGCAGTTAGAAACCATTCGTCATCCTCCGTATTCACCAGACCTTGCTCCAACGGACTACCATTTTTTTCGTGATTTGGACAATTATCTACGTGACAAGAAGTTTTCTTCCCAAGAGGCAGTACAAAATGCTTTCACACAGTTTGTGCAGTCTAGATCGTCGGAGTTCTATCGCAAAGGCATTAATAACCTTCCCATTAGATGGCAGCAATGTATAGATAATAATGGCAACTATTTTGATTAAATAAATTTGTTAAAAATTTAAAAAATAAACAATTTAGATTTTCAGTACAAATCGGCAATTTCATACTTTAACCCCTATTATAAATAAAATGATGTGTGTTAGACCAATTTCAATTTTATATTTAATCAATTTCAATTTTATATTTACTGTAATTTTTCGTGATTTTATTTCAATTCTTTTTTATGATTTTATAGTTTTTTTATTATTTATTAAGTTCAGGCTTTACAGTCAGATGCCACAGTGCTCAAATTTTAAGCGACTAACTAACATTTCCAGTCAATATAACTTGCATTACTGTAATCAATCCCTTTTTGTCTTCTAAGCCCTTAAAATATTTACGGGCATAACGGATCACACGGCAGGTGTTGTCCATACAGTGATTTACGGCCCACGTGAATCCGCAATACATTTCGAAGGCTTTGTATTTCGTGATTTATACCGAATGTGACCCATTCCTGGAAATGCTATTACGTTTCTCATAGATGACTGAAAATAATAGTAGCCCGTGAAATACTTTCTTTTTACGATTTCAGGTAAACGATCGAGCAAGTCATGCGCCTAGTGCGCTTACCACCAGCCTCATATGCCTGTAAATAACAGTTATATTGCCACTCAGAGCTTTTATGGCAAAACCCTGAGATATAAAGTTTACTAAATAAATATATAAATAGATAAAGACAATAGATAATGATATAATTATTAAATATGACGACTCGTTGTCAGGAATTCGAATTATCAGAGGATCCAGATGGCGGTAATCTTGAATTCAAGTCAGAGAATAAAGAGCAAAGAGAACGGACACTCTCCGCACCTCCCTAGATTTATATATCGCACCACGCCCCGCACATTGCCGGTCACATTGACTGAACGACAACAAGGCTGCCGGCGAGCCATTTTCACGCGAAGACGGCTTTGATATTTGAATATAGTATACGTTTATATAAAACAACATTTTAGTATTTATAATGGTCGTGAATTGTGCTGTGTAAAGCTTTTTATCATCATTTTCCAAAAATGAAACGAAATAATTAAGTAAAAAAACGTATGCCTGAGACTCATTCAGTTATTGCTTTGTTCATTTATTTACGGTAGAGTAATGTATGTATGTATAAAAAATACAGATTTATTACATCAATATATTGAGGCGCCATTTATTTATTTATTTATTTATTTATTTATTTATTCATACATTGCAAACTAACAGCTAAGTAGCCAAAGCGCTTACAAGTCATACAATTATTATGATAAGTATTACAATTCAAAAAATAGTTAACAGCAAATTATTCTAGTCCTTATTCTAACATTTTATGATAACGCTGACTACACAATGTAGGGAGACATCTCTCTACATATATAGCCAACGCGATCAGCGAATAAATCAATTGAGTCACATTGAGTGAGTATGTCCCCGATCAGGCTTATTGCGCGAATGTTAGGCGCGTTTTCAGCGTACAATGTGCGCGTGCGGGGCTTGCCTAACAGCCGTGGATATCGGCGCG